GCCGTAGAAGGCCGCCGAGGACTGTCACGCCGCCAACTGCCCAGATAACGAAAAGACGAATTTTCTTCGCCCCGCACATCCGGACTTTCCACAAGATGATGATTGGTGTGAACAGCAGCGCGAGTCCCTGAGCAACATGGATGCCACTTAGGACCTTGGACTGTACCCCCAAGTCTATGCATACGGGCACAGGCTCGAGGCGTCCACGCAAGGCCAAGTCCCATTGAACCGCTGGCGGATTGCAGGCGAACACGTTATAGAAAATTGCCAGCATCACATAGGCAACCAATGAGCCCATGAAAATGTCCCACGAAATCTGCCACCAGCGGTTGATGTGATCTGCCATTCGACGAATGAAGATGGCAATTGATAGCTTGATTATGCCCACAGCTACGTAGAATGTCGTCCTACTAGTCATAGCAACGACGATGCCGAAGTTGTACTGCTCGTACGTGACTTCCCACGTGTGAATGGCGGCCGCGCCTGCTGCGAGTGACGTGATCTGGGCTATCGGATAGACGAGTGCAACTAGCTACAGCGGATAACAATTCATGTTAGCAATGCCGAGCAGTCATCTTGAATTGCTTTCCACTTACTGCTGCGATGATTATTGTCCAGTCATCCCATCCGAATTGCATCGTCGAGCCTCTCTTCAACCTTAGTCCGACCCTTCCGGCCGTGGGAATCGCGATGGCCAGAATAACAAAGACGAGACCCGCCAGGATGCTGGGTAGCCTCGTCTCGTATGTGTAGTCCGCCGGAGGTGTGGCTGCAAGAAAGTAACCCTTCATTGGGTTGGCATCATTCATTCCAACCATACGGAAAAGGCCTTTGATGATGTAGTAGTCGTGCCGTGTCGCAGGCGGCTGTCCCGTGAAGGCCGAAAGCCCCGCGGCGGGGAGGCTGGCTGGATCGTCTGGAATCGATTCGAATGCATCCGTGGATGCCATCACAGGCCAGGAGTTCGTGTGCCATTCGGTGGAAATGAATGCGGTAGGTAGGTCATCTCAGTCGCGCACGATGGGCAGGCTTATGGTTTTGAGCAAGTTTATTCAAATGTGAGTGTCACACCAAGACAAACTCTGACAGAAAAAAGCAACGGGCTGTCTGCGCCAGAAGATTTCGCTTCTGCACCAAAGATTATGGCTTGCTGTGCCAGATGGGCACATTAGCGAGCCACACTATGCTGCAGTGGTATGATCTCAAATCTGCATGCGATGGCAAAAACGGCAGCGTTTCCTTGAGCGCAGGAAGCCGTGCTCTTGGCTAACAGGGATTGGATTTCGGTCTCTTTTGAGGCAGACGCGTTCTTCGCGTTCTCCATCAGGCCTCGTGGCCCCCAAGACTGTGCTCCTTCCAGGTCCAGTCGAAGTGGCGACTACCTAGAGAGATAACTCAAGCCGGCTCGACGTTTTGCTTCAGTCTACTCAACGTTGCTATCTTCTTTTTACCGTCAAAAGCCTTCTCCCATCTTTGTCAAGACCAAAGGGACAATGTTCTGTGGATGAACTCCTTGCCCCTTGTGATGAGCGGAAACAGGGGCTCCGGGGAATGCGTCCGGATCTAGCGTGGCACCCGCCGGACCCCTGTAGCCACGCAATGTGCATGCTAATTTCCCCTGATCCTTGCTTCTCCTGGCACTTGTTGGGCGTGCCCCTCACCGGTCACGATTCCGTGGAGTGATCCAACCGCGATTACCAGAGATTTCGCAAAGTGAAAATGGCCCATCGACCTTAGTTACCAAAGAAGCAAGCAATTTCATCCACAAGGTACAGGAGCCTAACCATGAAGGTCCTTGGTTCTGTTCACTATCCATACTGCGAAAGCAAGCTCTCCGCTTCTCGATCGGTCCGGGTCCATATCGTCCTGTCGTCTTGCAGGTTGCCACACCCACAACTAATCGGCTAACCATACCTTCAAGACCCAGACGTGTTGTATACGTCCCAATGATGCATCATATATGAGACAAGAAACATGAATCATTGAAGATAGTGTAAGTCCGCATTATCTATCCGTATCCTTAAACAGCACCAACGCTAGTCTAGGTCCCCAGTTTCTACCTCTTCTCACCCAAAGCAATGATCTCCGCCTCGATGGCCTGTCCAAACCCACCCGTTGTGCCCTTTCCTCCCAGGTCGGGGGTCATGATTGATGCCTCAGACCGGGCCAACACATTTTCAATCGCCTTGAGCACCAAAGAAGCAGCATCTGTGTATCCGTAGTGCTGAAGAAGCATTTGGCCAGCCCACACCATGCCGACAGGGTTGGCGATGCCCTTGCCATAGATATCCGGGGCACTGCCGTGCACCGGCTCGAAAAGACTGGGGAACTTGCTATCGGGGTTGATGTTGGCTGAAGGAGCAATACCGATAGTACCCGTGCAGGCGGGGCCCAGATCAGAGAGAATATCTCCAAAGAGATTGCTGCCAACCACCACGTCGAAAATGTTTGGGCGTTGGACAAAGTGCGCGGTCAAAATGTCGATATGGTACTTGTCGAGGTTGACATCGGGGTAGTTCTTGGACATCTCCGCAACACGAGAGTCCCAGTAGGGCATGGTGATGCTGATGCCGTTGCTCTTTGTAGCACTGGTAAGGCGCTTGCGGGGTCTGCTCTGAGCAAGGTCGAATGCATAGCGGAGAACCCTGTCGACGCCCACTCTGGTCATGACAGTCTCCTGGATGACAGTCTCTCTGTCGGTTCCCTCAAACATTTTGCCGCCAATGCTACTGTACTCGCCCTCGGTGTTCTCACGCACGATCCAGAAGTCGATATCGCCGGGCTTTCGGTTGGCGAGGGGCGACTTAACGCCGGGCATCAAGCGGCACGGGCGGAGGTTGATGTACTGGTCGAATTCGCGGCGGAACTTGAGCAAGCTTCCCCACAGTGAGACATCGTCGGCGACTTGGCTGGGCATGCCCACGGCACCGAAGTAGATGGCGTCAAACTTGAGGAGGGTTTCCTTCCAGTCAGATGGCATCATCTCGCCATGCTTCTCGTAATAATCGCAGCTCGCAAATTCGAAGGTCTCGAACTGCAGAGAGAGACCAAAGACTTTGGCGGCGGCTTCAAGAGCGCGGACACCCCATGGCATGACTTCCTTGCCGATGCCATCTCCGGGAATAACGGCGATTTTGAGCGTTTGAGGGGCCATCGTTGTTGGTTGGTGCTGGTAATGACTGGGGTCTGGTAGATCTGACTTTGGATTATTCGTAAAGAAATCGGTATGCCGGTTTATAATTACCACGACGATTGGATCCGTTTGACGATATCGGAGGATGTCGTTTCCGTGGAAAATGTCGTCGCCGCGTTACGCCCGCTGCATTTCGGGGATGAGGGGATGTGGTCGCTTAAATATTTGGCCGCGGCTTCTTAGTCCCGCGCCAGCGACGTCACTGGCGGCACCTCTCAACGACTCACTCGTCTGACATGTCCGAAAAGCCGAGGGCCTGTTGGTAAATTTGCAATGTAACTTCGGCTTTGTGTGCGAGCTGAATTGCATGTTTCGGCTACTTATACAAGTAGGCAAACTAGCACAGCACTGATGCCCAAGAAGTACGTGAAACTCGCACACAAACTTCGTGATCTACGCGCTATTTGTCATTGTAACACTTTCAAAACTTCATTGAATCTCGATTCAAAATGGTCAAAGTTGCCGTACTCGGAGCCTCTGGGCAAATTGGCCAGCCATTGAGTCTTTTGCTCAAGTCGGTAAGTCAAGACGTATTTATACTCTATGTGTCTTTACACTGACGACATGGTCTTAAAGAGCCCTCTAGTGTCAGACCTCAGGCTTTATGATGTCGTGCACGCTGTGGGCGTGGCAAGCGACCTTAACCACATTGATACTCCCGCTCCAGTCAAGGGCTACCTGCCTGAAAATGACGGCCTGCAAAAAGCTCTGTCAGGTGCAGAGGTTGTTCTGATCTCGGCCGGTAAGCTCTACTCCTGCGAACTGGGAATTATAAGACACTGACAGGGGGCGTTAGGCATTGCTAGAAAGCCTGGAATGACTCGTGATGGTAAGCCTTTCTTGTCAAATAGACGTGCTGATAGTTACCTGACACTTTCAAGACCTTTTCAAGACCAATGCCAGCATCATTGCGGACCTTGCTACCGGTGTCGCAAAGTTTTGCCCAACAGCCTTTGTCGGCATCATCACCAACCCTGTCAACAGCACTGTCCCCATTGCTGCTGAGGTGCTCAAGAAGAACGGCGTTTTCAACCCTCAACGCTTGTTTGGTGTGACAACTTTGGATGTGGTCCGAGGATCTAAGTTTGTGGCCGACGTCCTTGGAAACGACCCTCGGCAACTCAAGGTCGCGGTTGTCGGTGGCCACTCCGGCGCGACGATTCTGCCATTAATCAGCCAGTCTGAGCCCAAGGTTCAGCTGAACCAAGAGCAGATTGAAGCCATCACCCACAGTAAGGGAATCGCCACCTATAAAGAAGACTTCATCTGACATGCCTACCAAGGGGTGCAATTTGGCGGAGATGAAATCGTCAAGGCGAAGGCCGGTGCTGGCTCTGCAACCACATGCATGGCTTACGCTGGATTCCGGTAGGTGTCTTCCTGGATCATGTTGGGAAACGGATGTGACTGACTCAGGACGTAGATTCGCCCAGGCAATTATCAAGGCAGCCCAAGGTCAGAGTGGCATCGTAGAGCCCGCGTATGTGTATCTGCCTGGTGTACCGGGCGGTGATGCCGTATCCAAGGATCTCGGCGTTGAATACTTTGCCGTTCCTGTGAGCTTCGGTGCCAATGGTGCTGAGACTGCTCATCCCATCGGCTCTCTCTCTGATTACGAGACGAAGCTTCTTAAGGTTGCTGTGGACGAGCTGAAGGGCAACGTCAAGAAGGGAGAGGACTTTGCGCGAGCTTAGAATGTGTTAAAGAAAGGAAATAGCTTGATATGAAGACTTTTCTTCTGCAAAGATCCATTTTAAAGTCAACTTCTAACTCCGGGTATCTCCAATGGATCTCATGAAGCTTGAATTTACATCCCAGTCCCGGCATCATTTACAATATCTATAAGAGATCCCCATGTTGCTCCGTCGAACATGTCGAAAAAGTTATCAGTGTTACCATACTGATCCATTTGTCCCTGAGCGGTTCTCTGTCGATCCGGAAATGTCGTGGGAATTTGTGAGAAATATGTGTTCATGTTAGAGGCGTTGTTCTGAAAGCTCATGTCCTGGGAAGTTCCAAAGAGGGTCGCCTCTCCCGTGCTGAAACCTGGTGAAAATGTGGTCATCTGTTGGTGTGAGCTGGTAATATGTTGCGGGGTTTCCATGTTGTAGTAGAAGTTGTCGCTTCGATTGTCGTGAAACCTGACGCTTCGCTGGGCGGAATGGGGCAATGGTGTCCTTGATCTGTTCTGTGCCATCGCATGTGAGGATCGAGAAGATCGCCCATGAGCCCGATCTAGACGTCCACGAAGTCCCGCAGATGGGGCTTGTGTCATTTGCCGTTTTGTTGTCCGTGGACTTCCATCACTATTAGTCGGAATTGGGCTCGGTGTCTCATCCCCTTCGGTGCGGGTTCTCTTATGCCCCTTGGATCTGTGCTCAATGTTGTCCAGCAGCACAGATAAAACTCCTTTGCAGTCCTTAGCCATACGCCATCGGTTTTCCATGACCGTCAGTAGCTTGAGAACGGTACGAATATCGCTAAGAAATATTCAGTTAAGTTGATCAAGACAAATGGTAGGAGACAGGACTTACGACTGAGCTCTAGAAAGACTGTATGACTTCACACGAGCTGCAAGCGCCAGCACGAGACCGCTCATCCAGACGGCAGACATGTAGCCGGGCCAAAACAACGGTCCTCCGGTCTGGTGATACCGCTCGACAGTTGGTACAATAGCCTTAGCGGCACTGATGCATGTTTGTAGTGCCGCACGAAACTCGGCACATCTTGAGTCCAATGACAGCGACGGTCTGTTGAGTAGAAGGACAGTGTAATGATAGGTGATGTATGGAAAGACGGTTGGATCTGGAGTGAGCTCTGGAATGTTCATAAGGGTTGGACCGGGTCGTGGTTCTGTGAGGTCGTTGCCCCAGGCAGCAACGTCGGCCTTGAGGAAAAGGATCGTCTGGTTGTTCATGTCCCGAGCATGTATGGACCTATGAAATACATCTAGGACTCGTCCAACCAGCTGCGAATGTCTTGCATGGTTTTGAAGAACGTTCTGGGTCTCTTGACGGTGTCGAAGAATGGCGGCAGCTTTGGCTGAACTGGCGTTTGCTTCGCTATTTCCAGCTGCGTTTTGGTCCCCTTCTTCCACTTCTGTTGATGAATCTGAATCGTACTCTCCTTTGTCTCGGGATTTCGCACATCTTTCGGGGTGATTGGCTGGAAGATGTAGTATCGTGTTGTCTGCTGCAGCACTTGCGGGAGAAAGTGCGGATTGCGCTACAGGTTCGTGAAGATCCCTATGCCCTGGAGGGCATACATCGATATCTGAGTCTTGAATTCCGCTAGGGTGGCCTAGAGACTGGCTCACAAACCGGTCCAGAACATAAAAGCTCCAGAAAATTCGCTTGCGCATGGATCGTTCATCTGGGGATAGGTGGCCATATCGAACGGGGCAGCGATGCATGCCGGACTGGAATATGGACTTTGAAATAAGACCACCGACGGACGACGCATGTCGAAGAGACATAACCGATATGAAGTACACTTGAGCGCTAAGAAGCGCCTGGATGGAACAGGCATCGCTCCGTAGAGCCAAGAGGCTCAAGGTGGGTAGTAGATCGGAGCTTGATCGGATCCCTGCAGATCCTATGTCCACTGCGACGTCGCTATCGAGTCTCGCAATGCTGAAGATGCACCTGAAGATGACTAGACGGCTGAGAGACGCAACATTGCGTCGGTCATGCTCGATAGAGGCGTACAGAGCGTCCAACTCGGCGAGGCATTCGGGGCCTTGCAAGAAAGGAACTAAGGGGTGCCAAATTCTGAAGTATGTCATCACGAGCTTCCTGGCGGTTGAATAGTCCGGTAGTTTGCTCATATCATTGATGAAGTCGGAACCGGTAGAAAATGGGGAGAGGTGATCGTGCGACTGTGGGTGAGATTCATGGTGGCCCGCGTTGTCCGCATCCTCGTCTGGCTCGGTCTCATCATCTCCTTCGGCCCCGACAATACAATCTTCTGGTGATGGATCATCGCGAAGTTCTCCGCCCACGTCATTGGTCCGCTGGTTGGCGTCTGCTGTTGCGCTGGTTTGTGCGGAAAATGCTCGTCTCACGGTGTTGATAAAGTAGACACCAGAGGAGCTGCCAACGAACTGGCTCTCGCCGTTGGCAAGTGCTCTGAGACTCCCAATCTCCGGCATGATCTTGAGTTATGTTCGAGGCGAAGACTTCTGCATTGGGCTGCTCGGCGTTGTGGCGATCATGTTCCCGAAGGTGGCTCATTCAGCGAGAGCAGATGCGAAAATGACCGGTTTACAGCCTGGCCGGTTGTCGGTGGGCTGTTGCGGGGTTAGATTTGTCCGCACGCCAGACGCGCTTAAACCTGGGCATCCGTGCCCCATGATGTCGGCGTTAATGACTACATTAGCTAGTCATGTAACATTTAAGCCGAGGATGAGATGCACCTGCAACCTGGAAAGTTCATGTCAGAGGAACTTGGGCTATTGGAGTCGTAGACAACCCAATTTTGGTTGAGGAAAAGCTACTGTGTGGTTCACGATTTCGCAAAGCTTATTTACTAATACAATCCACAATATTCCATGGGAGCCAGCGATCACAAGCTTGAGCATGGTGTTTATTTCTACCAAAGAAAGGCACTTTCGTAACTTTCTGAAGGTTGCGTTTGTGAGGACTCTCGAGCACCCCTTTGAGGTTCTGCCAACGTGTGATTCTCGAACATCATTCCTCCTATGCCTTGAATCTGTTCCCCCGCCACTCCATCCATTGGCTCGACGGCCTCAAAGCCCGCACGCTCGCGATCTGGAGTCGTAGCAGAGAGGTTTGAGGTCGGACTTGAAGACTCAACAGCAGCAGATGTTACGTTAAATGGGCTGAGGGGAGATTCCAACGCCTGCGTGGTTTCGTCGTGGTATTCGTCGTCGCTGTCGAGGTCCTGGATGTGACTGGCAGCGACTTGAATCGACTCTGACCGGGGCGATACAACAGAAGTCGATGACTTGTCCTCGGCCCAGCGCTGAATTTCTTTTGCTGAGCTGAGAGGAAATTTTGCCCAATATACAGGACCGAATCTTTCTCGTCTTGCTGCCTCAGCAGCGCGAGTGTCTTTTTCATTGCCCGAATTGGGCATGCGGAGTTCAGATAAAGCAGAGTTCAGCTGCGCCTCTGAGCACTGTGACAGTAAGGCACAAAGAACATTTTCTGTCTCTAGCAATCGCTTCTCCATGGTGTTTATGTAGTGTTTCGGGGGGCCCCTGAGTTTAAGTCCTGTTAGTATTTCGGCTTTGGAAGTGTGAGATAACCTACCGTTTGCGCGGTTCAGGCCACTGGCAGACAAGGTTGTTGATGCCACATTGTGCACATCTTGGTCTAGATGTTGATGTTAAGCTTAGCCGTGGGGAAATTTTCAAGATGCAGGAAAAGCCATATCACCAACCTCTCCCCGCTGCACTTGGAGAGATAGTCAGCATCACCCGGCCATATGACAGGAAATTGAGTCTGTACCTTATGTTTCTTGGCCCTGCAAGCAAGACATGCCCCACTACTTCGGGACGTCTTGGACGTTTGGTTGTTCTTGAGTCTTGGGTCCGGCATCGCAGTTGTCGAGCCGAGATCGGTTATTGGGTTATTGGCGTATCTGGCGTAAGACGACCGAGATTTGGGGTTGGGGAGCATACGCGGGATAAACATGGAGATGGGAGGTTTGTGGTCGCTGGATATTTCACCCGCGGACAAAGGCAAGCCCGCGGCCAAGTCGCACACAGGCTTCTGGTGCAAGGCCCACACACGACGCGGACGGCACCCAAAATGAAGCTTGGGACAACTACGTCACTTCAGGGACCAAATATCATCTTAATTTTGAGAAATTGGTCCAATTGAGTTGACGTGTCTGATGCATTCAGGCGCCAAGTTGCTCAGGGACAATCGTCAACAGCTCTTCCCCACACACACCCCGCCTAGCGTTCTCCATACCCAGCAATTCCATCTGCTTCAGGGTCTCGTGAGTGTGTGTTCCCATGTGAGGCACGAGCAATGCGCGCTCGTTCTTGACCAATCGCTCATCAACAATGGGCTCCTTCTCGTAAACATCCAGTCCGACAGCAGCAACATGGCCCTTGTCAAGCGCGGCAGCCATGGCAGCTTCGTCAATGACTGCACCTCGAGCAGTGTTGATAATCACTACACCGGGCTTCATCTTGGCTATCTCCTCCGGCCCAATCAGATGGGTAGTCGCCGCTGAGAGAGGAACATGAACAGAAATGATGTCGCTCGTGCGGAGAAGCTCATCGAATGAGACGTAAGGGGTTCCTGCAGCGAGCTCGTCTGAGAGTGGCTTGCGGTTATGGTAGATGGCGTGGAGGCCGAACGGCTCCGCCCGACGCTTGACTGCACGCCCAATGCGGCCCATTCCGAGGATGCCTAGTGTCTTGCCCTGGGGATCATGGCCAAAGTCGAGACCCTTCTTGAAGTCTCCCCTTCGCAAGTTGCTTAAGCCAGGATTCACTTGGCGGAGGGCCCCGAGAAGAAGGAAGATCGTCAGGTCAGCAGTAGCGTTGGTGACCGGGTCGGGTGCATAGGTGACCGCAATGTTTCGCTTGCTGCAGGCATCTACGTCGATCTGGTCATAGCCAGCTCCTGTGTGGCATATGTACTTGAGGGAAGACGGTAGTTGACTAATGAATTCCTCGTCGAACTTTCCAGCAACCTATCAAGAATCAGCTCGCGGTACTACCAGGCATCACTTGGGGGTCTTGCGGCTCCACTGGCAGATGTCCTCCATATGGCCTGAACATCATGGTACTTGCTTCTCAGGTCCTTGAAGAATTCTGCTCGTGATGCGCTCGTGACCACTTCAGGAGCAGCGACGGTTTTGAGAGCTTCATACTCAGTGGTGGCGTGACGAACAGGGTTGAAGAAAAGAATGCGGGGTTTCGCTTGGGACATGATTGCGGTGTGGTGTGAAGCCTTGCTTAAGGCTCTCATTCTGCTAATGACGGAAATTGAAGTCCGCAAAGATATACCAGCATTTGACATCTTATAATCAGTTCGTGCGGATGAACGGCGGGTGCCGCATATTGGAGTGCGATTGCCGCGGCTTAACAATTAGGCGATCCTTTTCGGTCAATCCTCTCCCTGGTCACGACAACACCCGCGCAGGGGTTCGCGGCTAAGATGTGACTGCCATGGCAGAGACTCTGATTAAAAGTCTCGCCGACCAGAATTTCAACTCCGATGCAAAGATTGGAGCAAGGAAGCGGAAGTTTAGGATTGTCATCGACAGCCCAGAACACGGATGGTTTCGGGATCGGCAGCGCGCGGTCAATGCTTTCGAGCTCAAACCAAGGAAACCAGCGACACCCAGAAACACTTTACGCGACTGTCCCGCGTGAACTACACAGCTCTTACAACGCCACCATAGAGCGCGAAAATCCGTTCTTCTCCGTGAAGTTACTCGAGGATACTTGGAGAATGGAATCATGCCAGGAGTATGCTAGAGACAGATCCCGCAGAAGTACTCGACTCCCCAAGGTGGGAGAGAAGTCTATACGCCATAACGAAAGCGTCTAAATACGACAATTACAACGGAAAACAAAGACAAACATGATGGGACTCTTGTATAATTCGCATTTGACACGCTGACAAGCTGTTGAGGGGGGCGAAAATCGCATTCACCAACTCCCCTTGCAAGGATCTAGAGCCCAGCCAATTTTTCCTTCTTTCGCGACAAGGAAGACGGACTTATGTATGAAATAGATGGAGAACAAATGGTGTTGGTGATTATTTCGCAGGCTTGAAGTCTTTGCGTAAAGACTTAGAACTTAGCCTATCCCAATCGACGTAACGGTTGGCAAAGAGGTTCGTAATCGGAAATAGGACGGTACCTGATTCCCCCTCACATCTGGAATCTTCCCAAACCCGCCACCATCAACCACAACAGCAGCCTATCCGAAATTATAGGAGCCACCTTTCTAAAATCAAATATTGTAGAGAGGATGACACGCGACGGCGTTGAAAGGAAAGGAAATTGCATCGAGTCCGACGCACGTCAACCACTGGTTGGTCGCTGTTCGTGTGGCACACACATAATACAAGACATATTGAAACGCCAACGGCCCTGATCATAAGTACACTCGTCCTCAGCCTGAGCGTAACCCGATTTGCAGGCATGGGAGGTATGCCGACCGCAATGGAACCAGTTCTGGGGGGGGCAGGGGGGTTGCTGAGGTCTTCGCCGTTCCATTCACAGAAAGTGTACTTCAGGTAGCTTGTGTTCGTCAACAACCAAAACAGCATCTCATTAACGACATGGTAGAATACTCCTTCACTTCCCCACTCGAGGATAACATTGTGAAGAGTTGTGTTGCCGGGTGCTTATTGGAACTTTGGTCTTGACAACACAAGGGCGAATCTTTAACTCGACAAAGTACGCCCCACGTTGCTTACCGAGCACCGCTGGCAACGTGACTGGATCTTCCGCGTGTCCAAAATTCCGAATTAAGTGGTCTCATCTCGTTGGGCCTTTTTGTTCGTTCGAATCGGTGTCTCGCCTTCGTACTAGGCTGTCAAGACATGTAAAGAATCGGATCGTGATCGGTAGCGTCGTTCGGGCTGCGAGATAGCATGTGGGTGGCCAAGGTGGACTGAAACTATGACCAAAAAGTTTGGCTTCGTCCAGGCTAAAGCATAAGGTTGGTCAGCCGGCAAAAAGCAGAGTGGTCTGGCGGGCAAACAAGTTGTGATACGGAGTTGGACAGGTAGATAGCTTGTCAATAGCACAACACACGGAAGAGGGGCTAGGTTTGCGACTAAAAAAACCCACAAAAAACAGGCATTGCGAACCAGTTGTCTTTTCCCCACTTAGCTCGTTGTTATTGCTCGCGCTGTCGTCTCGCGGTATGTGATCGTGTTCTTGGGACTCGCCGTGTTCTTTCAAGAATTCTCAACTGGAACGACAGCCTCGTCAGGTATAGTGGCACACAGTATGTACTCGGTGTAGTATTGGCAGATATTGTAGATGGGATCAGATGGCCACTGCGGTATACAACAGTCCCAATCCGTTGCCAGTCTCGTAGCGCGACCGCGCGTTTTCCCAACCTTGGAAACCGCTGGCCTCAAGCTACTACATTACCTAGCGCAATGTCAACCGACTCTTTCAAAACGCTGAAAATTACTCGAAAGTCCGACATGCGTCCAGAATAATAGAGACTTTGTTGTTTGGTCGTCTCAGCTCGTGGGTCGCTGCCGGAAATCGTTTTGGAGGGTGTTTCGCGTAGCTTCCGTTGAGTAATAAAGGCTGCCTGTGCCATCTGGTTATTTTCGAGGCAGTAATTGCTCCAGCAGCCCAAACTTGATCAATTCGCTGTCTTGATTTGTTCGGCATCATCATGAGATCTCTCGACATGCTTGCCTAGAAGGATGTCTCCCATCCGAACGAGTTCAAGAACTCGAAGAGCGTCACCTGTGGATCGTAAACGGTTGAATATTTCCCGGGCTTCTGGTTCGGGTCGTACACACAAGTATCTCAGAAGTTGACGCATGTCTTCGTTCTCCTTCTCGAGGTTTTCGTATCGTCTTCGAAGCGATTCAACACGCGTCGTGTCAGGTTCGGTATCCCATGAGCATCCTTTCTCGTGAACGGAGCATCGGAAGCAGGTTGGACGAGTGCCAGTACACTTTGGAAGACAAAAGTGGTCAGCGGAAAAAACGACCATTTTTCGAACGGGGCAACAGGACTGGGAGAGAGTGAGGTAGGGATGACGGGGAAGGGGAGCCTGAACGTTCGGTGCCGTAAGGTATGTATCATTTGATATCTTCCTAACCGTCCTTGCCCCACATCCTCGGAGTCGAGGCCGAAAACCAATGCGATCGCACTTCGATCAGAATCCGGTGGCAAGCTACTTCTTATTGGAGAGACAAGGAGAAGAAGTATCTTTTTCGACTTTTGGCCACATTGACGGATGAGGACTTCGTTGCCTACCTTGACTTTTCTCCTGCGACACTGAAGACAAGCGGCAAGGACGGGCTGCCTAGCTGGTCTCAGGGCGCGTTCAGGCCTCAGGGGCGCGGGCAATCTGGTCACAGATGCAGCTGGCATAATATGCCTGTAGTTGATTGCTGAAATGGCGGGTTGTCGTTCTGGTGTCGCGACAGCAGTCGCTTCACCAGTGTTCTTTGCATTCATTGCGAAGCCCACGAAGGGAGGGTATGTATGTGGTGGCATTGAATCTTCGACCAACAGGATTGATTCGGGCTTCTAGGCTCTTTGGGATATCTATTTATAATTAAACAACTCTAGGTATAATGTCCCAACAGCCTCAGCCTGGACCTACCCGTCTTTGCGCCTGGAGGCGAGGCCTCTGGCAGTTGTCGCACTGCAATCGCTCCCCGCCCAGAGATTGCCGCCACTTGGTCCAACTTCCAGTGAGCTCACAGCTGGCCTGGTTCATGTTTTTTGCTGCCCAGTTGCTTTTTGTTTTGACGGATAAAACCGTAATGATGTTCCCGCGTCAACTGCGCGTCAACTGTGGTCGACGGGTATAGTTTTGTACGACGCTGCCGTTCTTTCGCTGGGATGATAAGGTCTTTTCCTCCTCCACGATTTCTCTCACCTCTTTGTCGCGGTAGTGCCCGCGTTCGCGCCCTATCAGTATCTGTCTGGGCCGTGGTCTGGGATGGTTTGTTCAACACAACAATGTTTCAGGGGCAGTGAATGCCACCAGCACACCAAGATAGAGAGTTTGGACCTGAACTGTGTAGGACCATCTATTTAAAGATCCGCTCCTTATGATGGGAGACTTGTGTCAATGTCCGGCTGCTGCTGACCAGTGCCCAGCGCTTGGAGGCAGCATATCTCAGATCTGCTGAACAGAGCCAACGCTGAATTGCCCTGGTCGTTTCGTCTACCGGATGCTCCCTAGCCCCGGAAGCCGATGTGCCCCTATGCCTAGCAATTGCTGCTTCGTTCAGACAACCAAGAGGGCGCGCATTCTCATTTCACAGGCGACGACTAAACACGGCAATGGACGCTAAAATCGAGCACTGTTAAGCCAACTGGAAGTTCTTCCACGAACAAAATCCGCCAGCAAGTCTACGTCACGCGAGGTGCAAGTGGTCACCTCATTTGTAATCACAAGGCGAATCCTGCACATATTTTAGTTGTCTGTGCCTCAACGTTCAAAACCAATTAGCCAGTCCTACCAACGCCGTGCGAGCTCACAGAATATATGTTGAGCCGCGCTCAAACTCATTTTATCGGCCTGCAAGGAGGCCAAATCCAGGTTGGGTTGCACTGAGGGGAGTGTTGTCCGTGGTGATGTGAGATGCATTCACCGTTACTACCGGCAGAAATCCGCAGCAAACTCTCATGGCTTTCTCAAGTTTCTTGACGCCAAAGCTGCTGTGGGGCTTCGAAGACGAGGGTGATGCCAGTGTTGTCAGCCCTGCGGGAGGTGCGAAATGAACTGGCTTCACAATGCTCCTGCCTGCTCCCCGCTCCAAGTCTGTCCGGAAGACATTATCGAGATGGCCGTTGATGTGATCGGACATGCTATATACTGAACCACGAATCTCAGGTGACTCCTTGTTCATATCGTTCCTGTTGGTGGAAGGGAACATACATTACCCAAACATACAGGGCCATGCTAATTAGTCGGCTTTCCGCCATAATTTGGGAAAGGTTGACCTCAAAGTCTCGTCACACGAACGAAACAACATGTGGAAGAAATGGTTATTGGTTTAAAATAACCAAACGCGAAAGTGTTCGAGTATTCAAGAGATAGCGGCAAGAATTAAGCTGCCATGTACCTTGTGCCTGGGATCGGTGGTTGACTGTCCGTCCTGCTACAGGGAGGCCGCACAGTAGCCATACTCAAAGCCGGCTGGTTTTGCGATCGTATTCCTCTTTTCTCGGGTCTGTAAGGAAACCCAGCAGGCATAGCCTCCTGATGCGTTTTTGGTGGTTGCGTATGAGCACTGCGGGTATGCTCCGCATAATCAATTGCGTGACCCTCAACTGTTTCCTTTATTTTGCCATTATCGCGGACGCGACACGATGTACACCAGCCAGCGTGACTCGGTGTGTTGCGGTCGGACCATCATGTATGAGTTCTTGATGGTTCCCGACACGATGATTTCAGAATCAAGTTGCCCAGCTCAACCCCAACGCCGCTACGGCCCCCCACGAGGCCCAAATCCCCAAACGACGGCACCATGAAGCTGATTGGCACATCCTCCAACATGCTCTCGTCTAGCTGTAGCCCCTCAAATGACGATTTCGCCACCTCCGGTATTTGAACCCCCTTGTCCGACGCCATCGCCAATAACCCATGTAGCAAGAACCATGTGAATGGAATTTCCTCTACACGATCCCGTATCAATCGGCAAGTCCGCGCAAACGCATCGTGGGCTTTTGGGTGATTGAGCAACATAACCAAAGTAACAGAGGCATTGAATAAGATGTGGACGATGATACTCGAGCTGTCTCTCTTGGAGAATGCGCGTTGTTTTTCTTCGATGTCCCTGATGCCCCTCTCACAGTGCGCCAACAGGTGTTCGACGACATACCCATCGTTTGGGAGATGCAGTTCCGGCTTGAGAGGCCGCAGAATTGCGAAAACCACTTGGTCTTCGTAGGCTCTTCCGTGCGCGTCAGCTTGCTGGGAAGGCAGCTAAACCACCACAGGAAGGGGCTCTGACCTTAAATAAGAAGCTGAAGAAGAATAGTCTTCATCTAGTCGTATCTTTCGGGACACCGATTCGCGCCACAGTCGCAAGTTCCCGAAGAGCTCCATCCGCTTCTGAATATCCTCCTTGGAACCTGTGTTCATTACATAGGCGTTGTACTCCATTACATTATTAAAGATCACGGACAAATCGCATGTCGCAGTCCGGAGTCTGACGTCTCGATGGCCATTATCTGCCGATTCTAGCTCGTTTTCGGAGGTTTCGTCGAGAGTTTCTTGCTGGATCGGGGGTTTTGGTAGAAGGGATGGACGAAGGTAGGCAAAGGCGAACATGCTGCGGTTGCAAAATCGTCAGCCGATCCAACATGATGAACTATCACGAGAAGCATTGCCGATGCCAACCTTTCAAAGCAGTACATCCCCCACAAGGCCTTCGACATGATCTTTCGATCTCTTATCTCTACTTTCACGTCTACCTCGACCGCCAGAAGGTTGTTAAACATGTCTCCTGCGCAGAGCTGATGCATTCTCGAAGCACGATCTGCTCCCATAGCCGCTGACGATAGGTGCATAAGCAGCAGGGCTTGCGCGGTGGCTAAGGATGTCCTTCCAGCTTCAAGATGTAGATGTCTTTGGGCTTCGTCGAAAAAGAGGGATTGCATGTCGCGTCCGATTTGGAGTCCGAATTCTTTTGCTCGTTTCGAAGAATGCTTCACAAGAAATCAGTTAACGTTAGAACCCGCTGCCACTAGGGATTTTCTTGATAGATTGAACTGAAGCGCCAAAACGTACGCTTCTCAAGGCGCATATCGCATTTACGAGGACTGGAGAGCAGTATCTAGCTGTCTTCGGTGAACATGATCGCATATCCTCGAGGAATGCTTCTTGTTCCACGAATGCGAGAAAGAAAGTCGCATCCAACAAGAAGAAACTAGTGATCAGGTCAGAGACAACATCATCGTTCGCCAGAGTTGTCCATGGTCGTGCGGGGACTACCAGAAGCCTCGTATGCGAATCCTCGTTTTCTGAACTTCTCAGCTTGGGGTCGACTTGATCAGCGCCCTCGCCCACTTGTCGTCTCTGTAGAAGCAAATCGGCAGTCCGCACGGCGTTAAGGACCTCCAGCGCATTACCCGACATTCGAAGTCTCCTAAAGATCTCCCTGGCTTCCTCGTCCGGTCGCAAGTAGAGGAAGCGTAGGAGCTCGTGCAGGTCCTCGTTTTCGCGTTCGAGTTCTTCCTTGCGCTTGCGTATCGAGACGATTCGCGTCGTGTCGGGTTCCGTGTCCCATATGCACTCGATGTTGGTTTGAGAACAGCGGTAGCATTTTGGTCGGAGTCCGGAGCACTACACAAGACCACCGTCAGTGCCACGTCGTTCCGGGTTGAGATGCGGTAGTCTTTTAGAGTGCTGCTGGGGTCGGAAGAAATAGTTAAAAGTTGCGTTGTTTTCACCCCACATGTTGGGAATATTTGCCCAGTTGTTGCTGATGTGGCTGCTAGCTCGGGAAGACCTGTTACGACCCCTGAGTCAAACGAACCAAGGTCCGCCAGGCTACTGGCCCGAGACGGCCTTGTAATCATGCGCATCGGGGTCGTGGATGAGATCTACATGAGAAGGAAATTTCATAATGTTACCTTGACCTTCTTCTTCCTGCATTCCAGACAAGCCGCTGGAACTTGACTCCGAGGAGGTTTGGCTACAGGTTCATAAGAGGTTCTGGCTGTTCCTGCAATGGACCTGGCGTCGGCAACTGCAGGTAAAAGCCGTCTCAGTCCTGTCCACTGGGTCCCTGTTTGGTACTCGGGGCCTCGGCGCACGGGGCCTGTACCAGAGTCCATCTGGGTCCTGAAAGATGACACAAAGCCTCCACGGAGGTTCTGGCTGCTTGCTTGGGCTCTCAAAGATGCCGAGGAGAAGATTTGAGGTCGTTGGTTCGTGGCGGGAGAAACCGTTGGGGTAGGTATGCCACAAACAAACTCCCTGTGGCCAGTCCCGCACACTTGATCGTGGCTAGTCCTCGCTGGCCACTAAACAGAGGGAAGTACATAGTCTCCAAAAGAAAAGACAACGACATCAAGAGCGGACTATACGTAAGCCGGAAGTGGGATATCGATTGAGGCAAAGAAACAGCAATACACTTGGTATGCGCTAATGCTTTCGTAACATACAGCTGGGTCTGGCCAGGCTGGGAGCACCCGGGGGGCACAATCAAGATCGGTCTCGTCGTGCCACATCCTGTGGCATATGCCTACGCAGGGTATTCCGGGACACTGCAGCGTAGTTTGTGGCCGGGGTAACTATGGCCTAAGCATGAATATGGCTTCGTTCGCCGGAGAGTGAAAGGCAACGAGAAGAGGGAGGGACTTTCGTCTATTACCAATAATAATTTTAGGTCATGGTCGCAACTTCCTGGGCGCTTTTCCGAGGACTTTCGCGGACCAGCCTGGGTTTCATTGCGTTTCTGTAGATTTCTCTTTCATTCAAGGTATCTTGACACACTTCCGGGCCTCCGTGGTTCCCCAGCATTCATTCGCCATGGAGCCACGAGCGGGATGTCCCAATCTCGTGCGCCACACTGCGCGGCCATTCAAGTTACCAACTTGCGGGAACGTGAGCCAAAGCGTGTAGCCCCCTAATTGTTCCGCACGACGACCAGGGACGGCACACTGGCAACTGCCATTTTCTGCTTCACGCACACAGCTATCCGTACTGTGCGGCACCCAGGAACACCACAGGGGTTGGTTCATGGAGCTGCCCACACGAGCCCGAGTATACTGCTTAGTACAATACACACCCTCAAAGAATGTAAGCGTAGCACTTCGACCCTATAAGTGCATATCAGGGGCCTAGGTAGGTTTGGTGACGAATAGAGAGGATCTACCCTGCCTAATTCCATGCGGGGTATCTATTTTCTGAAGCAATTTGCTGGTATGGAGGGTAGCAAACATGTACACAAGGAGGAGTCGGCCGTATTATACGTAACTGCAAGGTACCCCGAAAGCCATCATTTCAAGATCCCATGGTGCGAAGCCTCAGTCAGCAATGTCGAAGGCTCCGTCTGTGATAACCGTAGTACGTCACCGGAGGGGCTGCGGTGTGCCTAATTGGTGAGTCCGACAGGCTCTATTGACTGGCCAGCGGGAATAGTCCCGTTGCGCTTTCCTATTGGATGCCATTACTCCTCTCACTCAACGCCACGGAGGAGGCTCTCGCGCACAACGACATTCTTGGGCGCCTAATATCACCTCAACATGCACGACATGGTTTCATGCAGAGACGAGCGCGCGCCGGGTCAATGTCAATTGCCAAGTCGTGGCTCCACTGACCCAAGTTGAGTTACCTTCGCGGCCAACGGAAACCAATAGCAACATCTGTCAAGGTGACTGATGTCATGCCACACGAGCAAAGGTGCATGACAACCCATCAACACCCCTTGCTTGAAAACGAGCGTCAAATATTCGATATGTAATAACTTGACAAAATATATGCAACTTTCGAAATGAAAACCTCGGTTTCCGCCACCAACATAACGCCTCGCTACATCCGCGTTTTTCTCAAGCCCAATCGCCCCAAAACAGCAGCGAGACGAACGCCATCACGCTTATTTGACGGTGGAGCCGATGGGGCCGAAGCGGATGTTGGAGTAGGTAACGGTAGCCTGCGAACACGGACTGTCAGAATCGGTTTGGCCGGGAGGCGGATTCAACCAAGTTTCCATCCTCCAGAAAGGGGGAGAGAGAAGACGAGACTTACGCTGGCAAGGCTGTTTTCGACATCGGCGGGAACACCGGAGGTCGTGGGGCAGTCGCCTCTGGCCGCACCGGGCTGGCCGGCCTTCTCGGGAGGGTAGACGGAGTCGAGCCAGAGCATGTTGGCGTAGTGGTCGTCCCAGATGGACATGACCAGCACCCACTTGCCGCTGAAGGCGGAGTTCATCTGGGAGAAGCCTCCAACCTCGGAGAAGCGGTCGCGGTCGCCAAAGGCCTTCATTTGGTTGGTGCAGAACTCGGGGGTCACGGCGTTGCCAGTGACGCCGCTGATGGCGGATTGAGGCATCTCAATCTTCTTGCCGTTCTGGACGAAGTACTGGGCAACCTTGTTGTTGGAGAACTGGGTGACGACGCTTTGAAATGTTTAGTATGGGAATGTCTCTCTTCCGTCTGTCATGATTGATACTTACGTGAACTTCTGGGAGGTGTTAACGGTCTTGCCCTTGCCGTAGAAGTTGGTGACGCCCATGCGGTACGGGTTGAAGTCGCAGCCGTTGGCATCGCAGTCGCCGGCGAAGCGGTCCTCAGAGTAGGTGCCACCGCAACCACTCTTCTCGCAGACGTGGTACGCGTTGTTCTTGCACGCGTGGGGGGTGACAGCGAAGGAGTGGGCGTTGGACTCTGCGCGTGGTTAGCACCCATCACATTGTTCTGCTCGAGGAAGCATACCCCAGACGTCCATCTCAGCACAGCAGCCACCGTACGGACCGACACCAGCGTTGGCATCGTTCGAAGAGGGAACCCAGCCCTCGATGTTGGCCTTGCCACCGACGAACTTGAGGTCGCGAGCGCACTGGGCGTCGCAATATCCAGTACCATACTTGGCACCGGCCTTGTTGGTGGAGTACTTGGCCATGCCACCGTCTTCGTCCATCTGGACGAAGTAGAGGGCACCTAGGCATCGTATCAGCATCTATACCTCCATTTTGGGTGTGACAGTCCTCTCGACGTACCGTTCAGGCCACACTCTAGCTGGGAAAGATCGACGTCGAACGCAAGCTCGTTGCCGGTGAGGGTGAACATCTCGTACTTGGTGGCGCTGTTCATGAGGTACAGACGCGAGCCGATGTTCTTGCCGTACGCGTGCTGCGTGACGAACTTGAGGCTGAGCGCGTTGCCGGAGGTCGTGGCGCCATAGGTTCCGGAGTAGTCGGCACCCTCGAGGGCGCACTTGGACGCGCAGTCGGTGGCGGTGCTGCATTTGTCGGTCCACTTGTTGCCGTCGTAGCAGTTGGCGCCCGAGCTGTCGTGAAGCCAGCGCCAGTTGGAGTCGATGACGACCTCACCGTTCTGATTGGTGCAGCTGGAGCTGGTGCACTTCTGCCAGGTCAGCTTGGGGTGAGTCTCGGTCTGCTGGGTGCCGGCCTGCTGCGCGGAGACAGCGGTGATGGCCGCGAGGAGGACAGAGAGGGAACGCATCTTGTGATGTTGCGAAAGAAGAGAGAGTAAATGGTTGAGGACGAGGTCAGCGGTAGATTTTCTTGACGTCGAGGACTGTTGATGGCCTCTTATATTCCCATCTGGTAAGTGGTAGATCTGGGCACATTACAAGCCAAGGAGGTCCAGACTCCGAAGGGGATGATCTTCCCTAGTCGCCGACAGCTCTCCTTCGTGGAAGTGAGGGTATCATGACACGGGAATCCACAGTACTTCCACGGAGGGGTCCATCCGTCGGATACAACGAGTTCAGATCCGACAACATAGTACCACGCGGGATTGGCCTTGATCCCAAAAGGAAAGGCGCCAGGCACCAAGGGACCGAAACCCGGGACGACCATCACGAGGATGGTAAGAAGTTCACCAATCCGGGATGGCAATTTAAGCATCATTTGATCCGGGCAACTGAGAGGTGCGGGGGGGGGGAAAGTGTGGCTTCAGAGCAAAGGGTACGAGGTGGTATCGACTGACGATAGGGGATTGGGTGGGCGGAACCGACAGCCGTATGTAATGGTGTATATCTGATGATACTAAGAGGATTAACTAACTTCGTTCACCTAGGCATTTTGAACCCATTTATGCTTTCGGTCTCGACCACCCATATCATTGCCTGCGACAATTACTCTTGTTGGACACAGAGAAGCTTTCAGCATAGACTCGAGGACGCAGTCTCGCTGGTGCCCTTTTGATCTGCGTCGCGATAGAGAGCCTCAGAGGCCAAGCTTTGCTGATACTGGGGGTCTCAATGCCAATAACGATCAAGCCTCTGTTGCCAAGTGTCTGAGCAAGTGGATATCGTTCCCACGGTTTCGCTCAAATAAACCCAGCGTTCCGTCGCTGGAAGCCCATATCAGCTAGGCTTATGGATTGCTCAAGCGGCAGGGGTAAGGTTTCGGAAATCGCGGAGGGTATCAGCAGAGAGCGCTTACGGACAGGTACGTTGTGTACCCCTTGGCTAATACTTTCGGGTGTGCGATTCCACTACAAGGGCACATTGTATATTGTCACCCTGCTTATAGGTTCATGAGGCGGAATTCGATCTTCTACAGGGAGTCCTAGTTTCGTCGTTTACAACGCCAACTTGGTTTTTGGCTCGAAGATATGTAAGGCGTGATCGAAGAAATCGTTCCTGCATGATGATATCTTTCAGTATTCGCTTGGAGAAGCTCACGAAACGTCTCCTTCCTCTATCTAACGACCTCAAGAATTGTAGGACTGGTAGGTTTGCCTCGTCTGAACGCCCAAGGGGGTGAGGTTGTCATGTGGCTTCAGCCTTAATTAGGTGTGGTTACGGATGCTACCCTGATCTGGGGTAATTCCCCTAGGAAGCCGGCAAATTGATTTAGTCTCGGCTGGCCACGAATGATTCCACCACACATGGACGGCACACTCCTTCTTCTGACAGAAGGTAAGCTGAGGCGAACCACTCACGTCGACGGCGCAAAGGTGGGGTAACAGGGGGCGGCTGGAGCATATATGAACTCGATCCAACCTTGGTCTTGCCCATTGGTAAACTCGATATTGAGTTGTACGAAGTGGCCCAACCGTGAGCTGAGAGAAGAGGACAGCCGGTTGCGACTTGCCAATGTCGGACTGGTTTGTTGAGGGAATACCATGGGAGGCCTTCTGTGGGAGCCCGATTGCTACGTCGAGACGATTTGGGAACGAGAAATCGGAGCGACAGATGCCGCTTGTTTAGGGAGAACATTGATGAGACAGGACGGTAGAAGGAGAACATTCAGGATCAATATTTTTGGTATGGAAGTTTCAATTAGCTATATGTTGGACGACGGCAGTGTCTTGGTCCTCATTCAGCCTCAAATGACGGCATCTTGGCGGCTTTTGGGCATTCGATTCGACTGCAGTAGTGGATAGTCTATCTAGCGGAGCAGCAAAGTCTGGGGTTCGTTCGCTGGAACGGTCCATGGCCAGTTGAAAACTTCGGCATTCGGCTATATCAAAGGGGAAGCAGCACGGAGAGGAGGGCCGACAATATAATAGCCGAGTATTGTTGCTGCTAAGCGAGGGTCACCAAGGGTCATGAGACTTGCGTTGAGAAACGTCGGAATGGACCAGGAGAAATCGCCCCAATTAGAAAACCTGGTGCCTACATCACTGCTCATTCATCAAAGCCATTAGGCGGGATGTCCTGAGACAATACTGACTGACCCTGCCGGCGTTGTTTGTAACGGGCAGGCCGGCGGTAGCCCGGCAACCCGGGTCTAGCATCGGACTCACCCCAACACGGCCGCTGCGGAGTCCAACAGCTCGGCGTCGGATGTCAGCACTACCAGCAGACTTGGTCCTTTTCTTACACCCGTGCGGTCTCTTACGGCGCGAAGAGGAAAGGACGCGGGGCCGCGATTTCGGCCGAGGCCCCGGTTCACAATGTTCAGCTCGAGGCACACCGCGGAGATTTGATTGGCGCCCTCGGAAGACTGCAGCGATTATTCATCTGCAGACAACCGACGCCTCATACACCGGGCGTCAAGTCTTACATCTTACGAACGATGTTCATTTCGGCGGGTTTTCGGAGGATAAGTCTTGTCATCTTCATCGCGAACTACTGCACGCCTCGGTGCTAGTCTCTGATCCGCACGGGTATCTAACGCAAGATCTCGTGAAAGGTCCCAGCGTCACATTGTGTAAGATCGTCAGCTTACACATCGTGGAGAGCTTGTGGGCACATAATCTGCGAAAGCAGACCTTTGCATCTCCTCAACCAGCCGCATTCTTGACAGTCACCATGTCCAAGGGCATCATTCTTTTGACTGGCCTCAATGGCTTCATCGCCGCGCGAGCGGCGGAGGCCTTCTTACAGGCAGGCTACTCGATTCGCGGGACCGTCAGGGCCAAATCCTCAGCCAAGGCCGTTGTGGACGCGCTGTCCCAGTATGGCGCCGACAAGCTGGAAGTGATTGAGGTGCCCGACATTGCGGCGGCAGGTGCCTTTGACGAGGCAGTCAAGGGCGTCCATGGCATCGTGCATCTCGCGCAGCCAGCGACATTCGACATCCCTGACCCTGCGCCCATCATGGCGCTTGTCAAGGGATCGACGATTGCCATTCTCGAGTCGGCGTCCAAGTCGCCTTCCGTCAAGAGTATGATCTTGTTGTCATCGGCTGGCGCCGTCGGCTCCAACAAAGAAGGCCCATACACCTTCACGGAGAAGGACTGGAACGACGCTGCGGTCGAGGCCTTTGAGCAGCTTGGAGCCAAGATCCCGGGCGCGTTCATCTACCTGGCCAGCAAGGTGATTGGCGAGAGAGAATTCTGGAAGTTCCGGGCGGAGAGGAAGCCCTCATTCACGATGACGGCTCTGAACCCTGTGTAAGTCCAAGCTCCCGATCCAAGCACGCCTGCTGACAGCAACAACGTAGCTACGTGACTGGCCCCCCTCTCACACCCCCGGAGACGCCCGAAAAGATTGTGGATTCCGCGCGGTACGTCTGGCGCATCATGTCTGGCGCAGAGATTATTGATCCGCCGTACGGGTACGGCTGGTACGTGGATGTTCGCGACGTTGCCAAGTTGATTCTCTTTGCCGTGGAGAGGGCTGATGAAGCGGACGGGGAGAGATACATCTCGTCGACATGCTGGGGACCTCCGCAGGCGGCAGCGGATATTCTTCGTCCAGCGTACCCAAGGCTGCCCATCAAGGAGGGCAAGCCGGGCGAGGGATATCTGCCGGGATTCAAGGCGCCGGGGCCGCTGGATTTTGACGGGTCCAAGGCGCTGAAGGCGGTCGGTCAAGGCTTTGTTCCTTACGATCAGTCGCTGCTGGACATGGCCAAGATGATAAAGCATCTGTTTGAATGATGCGGTTGTTGTAGAGGAAAGTTAAGAGAGGTGTTTCTGTAAAGCGCCTGTAGAATTACTCCTAATGCCTACCTCTTTGAGGAAAGACCGAACTTGCCACAGGGCAGGCCCTACACAGTAGCAACAGGTCACTATAAGTGACTACCCTACTAGATATATAGAAGAATAAGTAACTTTAACTTTATATATCTATACCTATATATACTTCTAGTAAATTAGTAGTATAACTAGTCGATTTAAAACTACTAAGTATTAAATTTTCTACTATAGCTTTTATACTATTATTAGAAATTAATCGTATTATACTTCTATTATTTTTTATTACTTTATTTTAAATTTTTTTATCCTCTTTATTTTTCTTATAGCTAAAATCTAGAGGATAATTGTAACTAATATTAAAATATTTAATATTATACTATATTAAGAACCTAAATAGATATTATCATATTATAACTTCTTAAAGTAGTTAGACTAACTATTTTTATATTATTAATTCTATTTATAATTTTATTAAGATTATTTTAATTACTATATATTATAAAAGATTATATTGATTAATATAAAGCAGGCTAATTTTATTTTAAATATTATTAATATTAATATTAATTATTAAGATAGTTCTATTAAGGAAGACTATCTTATTAAATAGATTAAATTATTTAGAGAATTAAACTATATTTTAGTTTTATTTAGAGTTTTTTTTTTAATATAATTACATCTAAAGTAATAGTGAAGTTTATCTATAGATAAACCTTTAGTACTATTATAGCTAATATATTTCTATAGCTTATTATTCTTATTAGAACTATAATAGTATTTATTTTTAGTTTAGCTAATATAACTTAACTATTTGTTTTATATAGTGAACTATTATTTATCTCTATTTATATCCTAAAAAGGAGTATTTAGTTATTATCTCTAATTAATTTTAGGTTTTTTATTATAGAAATATTGATTCTCCTCTCTTTAGTAATAGCTTAATAGGATTAATAGAATAGTTTTTATAGACTAATTTAAATGATAAATTTACTTTTTAATATTAACATCTAATTATATTTTATAATACCTCTCCATTAATATTTATTTTATTAATATTAGAGTTAAGCTACAATAATATAAGAGGAGGCGCTATACTCTAACTATTTATTATTCTTAGTAAAGCT